TCCCCAGCAGAGGAGCCCACCCAGGAGTGGCAGGCGGTGGGGGGGGGGAGCAAGGTGGATTGGGGCTCAAGGGCAAAAGAAGGCTCCGCCCACGGGTGTCCTGTTTACCCTGATTTTCAGAAGGCGGGGTAGGGGGTAGGCGGGAGGGTTGGTCCTCCGGGAGCAGGGCCAGGCGGAGTGAGGGGCTGCCGCTCAGGGACACGTTTCCAGGCCTCTTGGCCAACAGCTGAGTCAGCCTCCCCCCTCCCTTGGCTGCTTTGGGGGGGGGGGAAATGGGAGACTCACTGGGCTGCCTCCCAGAGCCCCCCCCCCCAGGCTCCGAGGGGAGCCCTGCAATGCAAGCGATGCCAGCCGCCGGCCCTGGCCGGCGCTCGTAGGACGAGGTAGCCTGCTCCTGAAGGGGGAGGCTCCGCTCAGCAATGGAGGGAATCGATACGGCAGGGAATGCCAAAGCCGCGCCGCCCTCTTGTCCCCTTCCAGGGAGGAGCCCCCACCTGTCCGAGGAGCTGATAGAGGAGTTCAGACAGTTCTCGGTGGCGCTGGGCATTCCTGACGACGCCATCTTCAGAATGACGGAACCAGGCAAACGAGGAGCTAGAGGGGCTTCCCAGGCCAGGAGATGTGGGGGGGGGGGGGGGGGAGGGGGAAAGGGAAGGGGGGGGCAGGCAGAGAGCGAGGGAGGGAGCCCCCGCCCCCGTCTTTGAGGCTGCCTGGCTCCTCTGCCCCTCCTGGATGCCTCCCCCCGCCCGTCTCTGACCGGCGCCTCTTTCCTCAGGGGAGTGTGTGCCCCCACAGCCAGAACTCAACCTGCAGGTACTATTTCCTCGGGGGGGGGGGTGTCTACCTGGCTTCAGCCCTTAATGCCCCCTCACACACCTGAGCTGAGGACTGGTCCATTTTCTCCCCCAGAGAGACCGGAGGAGCACCTGGGATGAGGAAGCAGGCTCTGCCGATGGCTCCCTGTCATTGATGGGGGTAAACAAGGAAGGTGAGCTTCCGTGGGAGGCCTCAAGCCCCCTTCCTCTCCCCACAGCTGCCCCCAAAGGACCTGCGTTGGCTGGGCAGCCAGTGACTGAGGGGGGGAGACAGGGGGGGACCGGCAGTGTGGGCAGGACTCCGATGATGCCCGCCGCGGGTTATTCCTCCCTTCCTGCCTGAAATGGCTCTCCCGGGTGCAGCCGATACTCCAACTGGGCTGGCGTAAGCCTCTCTCTCTCCCCCACCCCGTCCCTCCACACCACGCAGATTTCTGCCTGCAGCCCAAAGACGCCGGTCCCTGCCTGGGGATGGAGCTGCACTACTTCTACAACAGCACGTCCCAGAACTGCGAGAAATTCTTCTACGGCGGGTGCCGGGGAAACCAAAACAAATTCCCCTCGGAGCGCAGCTGCCTGCAGACCTGCCGGACAGAGGGTGAGTGCAGCAGGGTGTTCTGACCCGAGCCTTGTTCCAAGGGAACAAACACAAAATGGAGGTAACAGCAAACCCTTTTAATGATTCTTTACAAAGTCTGTTCCCTCGTGGTTAAAAGGCTGTTTCGAACTAAGTGTCTCTGATAAGAACGAGCCTTGCCAAGGTGGCGCAAGGCTGCCAAAAGCACTAGATGAAGTTGCCATGAAATATTCCAAACAAAAAGTCTTCAAATACAAACCAAGATAGTCCGAACTTCCACAAGTCTTGAAGGGCAAGAACTTCTTTGCTTCCTGCAAAGAACTCCGGTTTCTCAGCTGGCTTTTATCCCTTAAGGGAAGGGCCATCGCCTTGCAGCCTTACTCCCGAGTCACCCCTGCTAGTGCAGCTGCTCTTTCCTTTGAGCAGTCCTGTGCACATGTGCACTTGGCACAGGCTCCTCAGGAACTTCCTCATCACTGCTGCCAGCCTCCACAAGCTCCGAAGGCAGCAGTCCACTCCCTGATGGTCCTGGCCCCATCCTTGCATCACACGCAGGCCCCGCATCCGAGGCCTCGCTCTCCGAGGCCTCAGCCATCCGCACCTGCTGTTGGCGAACCACAACACAGGGCTAGTGGCGCCTGGGCCCTCCTCCTCCGTCCCGCACGGACCCTCAAGCGGCAACCTCTCCTTCCCTCTCTGCCCGCAGCCGCCTGCCGCCTGCCCATCGTCCCGGGAGACGCCTGCAAGGACACATTTTGGGCCTTCGATGCCAAGCAGGGCAAGTGCCTCACCTTCCAGGGCTGCGGGGGCAACGCCAACAAGTTCTACCTGGAGAAAGAGTGCCAGGAGTACTGCGGCCTCCTCCCCAGCGGTACGTCGGGGAAGAAGCCCCCCCGCCCCCGGTGGCCACTTCTCAGGGGGGCATCCTAAAGGGGAGGGAAGGAGGGGAACAGCGCCCTTTTTCATCCTGATCCGTCGTAATCCAGGGCCGGGTCCTGCCAAGCCCCCTGGCCTCCTGGTTCCCCTGAGGGCGGGCAGCCGGCTCGGAGGGGAAAGCCTGGGGTCTCACCAGGGACCCCGACGCCCCTGTCTCCCCTTGCAGACGGGGAGGAGTTCTTGCGCCCATCCGCCCCGTGAGAGGCCGTGAAGCAAGAGGAGCAGCCCCCTTTTTTCAAAGCCGGATCAATAAACGCAGCTGCTGGACTGAAGCGACCCCCGTCTCCTCACTCCCTCCGTGGCATTCGCGGGCAATTTCAAGTGGCTTTCTCACGTCCTTCCGCTCCGTTTGCCCGTCCTGGGGGGGGGGGAGCCCAGGCCAAGGAGTTTGCGCACCTTGTGGCTCTTCCCATTTTAAGCCCTGGGCCGGGGGAGTGGAGGGGTCCAGGGGAGTTGTGGGGGGCGGGGGGGGGGGGGGGGGGGGGGGGGGGCTTGGGGGGGGGGGAGGGGGGCTCCCCCATCACTTGTTGCTTTTTCAGCATGTCTTGACTCCAGCCCTATTGCCCAGCAGCCCTTTATGGCACCCCAACTGCCCTCTCTGCTGGGCAGCTGAGAGTTTGGCCTGTCCGGCTGGTGCTCCAGGCAGCGTTCCCTGGCAGGCTGGGAGGGACAAACACACACACACACACACAGAAGCAGCCAGCTTCTCCTGGGCCATTTGGTCTCCTGTGTGTGTGTGGTGGTGGTGGTGGATATCTCTGCAATGGCTGTGCCAAGCTTGCAGGATGGACGCACGCGCGCGCGCGCACACACACACACACACACACATGCCCTGCTAGGAGGGGCTCACAGGCAGCAGGCCGGGGTGGGCAACCGCTCCCTGGCCCAGCCCTTTTCCCACCGAAGCCCCTCGCTGCTTCTCAGCCCCCTCCCCAAAAGGGACAGCGCCGCAGCCTTTTTTTTAAAAAAAAAAAAAGAAGAAAGCCCCCGTTTGTCTCCAGGCAGGGCCAGGATCTGATGACCGAGATTTTCTGTGTGGCTGAGCAGGGTGAATGGCGCATTGAGCGAGGAGACGACCCCACGGCTGGCACCTCCGCCAGGGAGAGACACCCCCCGCCCCCCGCCTTGCTTTCCTCCCTGGAAGGAAGGGAGGCCCGGCGGGAGGGGAGGGGGCTCTGAATGGAGAGGCCAGGAAGGAAGAAACCCACCCACCCCCCAAAAAAGCCAGGCTCAGGGAACACACCGACCTGTAAGGAAGAGGGTCGCGCGAGGGGGGGAAGGGAAATCGGGCCTCTCCCCTCCCCACTTACTTTGTCAGACAGGGCTGGTCTGGGACAGGACCCTTGACCAAGGGGGGTGGGGGGGGGCAAGGGGGCAGGGGGCCGGGGGGGGGGCCGAGGGCACAGGTCACTGGGGGGGTCCATGCCCGGGAGAGCCTCTCCTTTAAGAAGGCTGCACGGAGGGAGGTCGCAGCAAGGGGAGGATGCCTGGGGGAGGGATTGAGGCTGCCCCCCCCCGCCCCGGATGGACAGTGGCCCCCCTCCTCTGAGCCACACTGAAGCGCCAGCCTGCAAGACCGCGTGTGGCAAAATGGAAGCCCGCCCTTCTTGGTTCTCACTCGGGACCGGCCCCCCCAATATACCTGGGAACGGGGGCCGATCAGAAGAGGCCCAAGCCCTTCCAGAGGTCCCTGCCCCCTCCCGCCTCCCCCCTAGCAGCCTCCCTTCCCCCCCTGCCTGCCTGCGGGGGTGGGGGGGGGCTCCTGCATTTAATGCAGGTCTCTGAAAAAAGGGCCTGGCGCTCCCCAGTTTCATGGATTTGAATGTGAAAAGCTGGCAGGCTGAGGCTGGCGGGAGCCTCCTTTGTTCCTCCGGTTGCTGCTGCTGCTGTTCCTGGCATGGCTTCTGCAGCCCCCTCCCCTCTTCGGTGGGGGCCCTCATTAGCATACCAGCTGCTTGAGGGAGGGGAGCAGGAGGAGGGAGGGGCTGCCCTGGGAATGAATAGCTGGAAAAAGGCTGAAGGGGAACAGTGGGGAAGGGAGGCGGGTGAGAGAAGGCATCAATGCCGCTTTGAAAGGAACCAGAGGGGGCTCCGAGGGGCGCAGGGAACCAGGAAGAAAAGAGATGGGCGAGGCGGGGGGGGGGGGGGGGGGCGGGGGGGGGGGGGGGGGGGCGCAGGACGAGGAGTGGGCCCCAAAGGGGCTTCGGCTCCTGGAGGATTCTCACCCGGAGGAGGTTTTTACCTGGTTGCAGAAGAGCATTTGGGGTGCGAGGCTCAGTTGGAGCCCGGGGTCAGAGGCCCTGCTGAGCCAGGTGAGCCCAGACAGGTTTGGGGTGCCCTTGTCCCAATTCAATAAGCCCCTCCTCCAAATCCCTTTATTTAAAACAAAAAAAATCCATTATTTTTTCGATTGGGTTCGGCTCAGCTTCTTCTCCATGATGCAGGGTTGAAACTAGGGGGGGTTGGGGGGCTCGCAGACTCCACAACAACTTGATTCCCGCCGCCCCGTGCTCGATATCTCTTCGCGCATCGAGACAGTCAATACGGATTTATTTTCCTCTCCCGGCGTCAATCACAAGGGAAACGTGAAGCCCTCGCTCTGCCCCCCCCCACCCCCCCACCCCCCACCCCGACTCCCCGCCCAAGACTGAGAGGTGCCCCGGTCCATCTGTTTTGGAGTCAGTCGCGCAAACGAAAAAAAAAAACAAAAAAAACTGGGAGACAATTGCAGGAAACACTTGAGAAGTTCAAAATTCTTTCACGGGTTTCGGTTCGCGGCAACCAGAGCCTACGCAAGGCAACTCGGGGACAATGAGATTCAGAAAAAAAATAACACACAATTAGAATAACAGCCTGGCACGGCAAACTAAAAAAAAAAGAAAGAAGAGAAGCAGCCCAGCCGTTTTAAAGAGAGAGAAAACAAAAAACAAGATGTTGCTGTTATGGGAGTTTTGCCATTCTGCCCCGGGGGAATCCTCGGAGGCTGGAAGGACCCAGGAACCTCCCTGGCAGCCGTGCCAAGCAGGGCAGGACAGCACCATCTTCCTTTCTTCCTACCCCATGGCATCTCCTGAGCTCACGGCAGCCGGCTCTGCTTGGGATAGCGGCGTTGCAATCCAAAATGCCAGAGAAAGATGTTCCCGTCAACCCAGCTGGCAGGGCTCCCCACGCCAGCAAAGCAACCTGCCCAGGTGCCAGCCGTGGGGAGGGGATCCAGGGGTGAGTGCCACTGCCGCCGCCGCCACCGCGATTGCCCTGCCTGCTCTAGGTAGGCCAGGCTCATGCAGCGGAGGCTAAACCCTCAGGACTTAAGGGCCTGGGCTGAGTGACCCTTTCCCGTTTCTGCCTCGCCAGGTTCCGGTGTGGGATGAAGAAGAGATAGGCACCCCAACCCCATCTCCAGACTTTGTCAGGTGCCCCCTAGGAGGCAGAGTACTGGCAACGGGCATCCGCTGCCCATCGGCCCAAGGTGCGGAGGACCAAACAGGCCTCCAGGGCGGACAGTGGCTCTGATTCCTCTCCACCCAAAGGCATCTTGGGGGGCGGTGGGGAGAAACCTCTGCCTTCTAAAACCTGGACCACGAAACTACCAGTCACTTAGCAAGGGGCCCCGTTGCCAGGTGGCACAACTGCCTGCGGCTCCGCCTTTGGCGACAGGCCGAGGCAGCTCACCCAGTGCACCGCCCTGGTGCGAATCCAGCCCAAAGGCTTCGGTGGGGCTCAGCTCCTTTAGCGAGAAAGCCAATCCGTCCCACGGATCAAAATCCGTCCCCATCACGGGAAGCCAGTTTCCCTGACATATAAGGATGCCAAGCAGCCTCAAGCGCCCTGCACAACCTGGTGGCCTCCCATAGATTCACCCTGTGGCCCTCCAAATATTGCCGGGGTCCCGGGCCCCTCTTCCTCCAGGGCCTTTGTGCCCGCTGAACACTTAAGCGAGGGAGAGAAACCAAAGGGGCCCGTTTCTTCTGTCAAAAGAGGTGAGGAGCTACAGCCCTCCCTCCTGGGAGCCCAAAGCCATACGGATGCTTTCTGTTTGAAGCTGAACTGCTACTGGAAATGGAGGCTCTCTTTCCCTTCCATCAGTCCCAGGCCTGCTAAAGTTGCCGTGGTTTGATCCCTTCCAGGCTGTCTGACTCTCCCTCTTGGCGAGGAAATGATGGGAGCTGTAGTTCCCGAGACAACTCTCTCTCTCTTTCTCTCTCGCGCACCCGCCCCTCCTTGCCTTGACCCCTTTCTCGCTCCCTGCCCATCCGCGGCTTCCTTGATAATTCAGCCTCTGGTCGGAAAAAGAAAAACAAAGCACACACAAACATAGGAACATTGTTTTTATATATATATAAAAAAAAAAGATCAGTGGAAAAATTATTTATAAACTTCTCACCCTGGGACTACACAATGCTATGATATACTCTGAAAACACAGCACCCGCCCGCCCCCACCGCCCCTTAGTCTTGTAGTTCTTTCATCCAGTTAAAAAAAATGATCATACAGTGACCCACATAAAGCTTCAACATAAGCCTAAAATTCTCCACAAATTAATTAACATAATTAAGAAAAGGTATTTGCCACCTAGAAAGGGGGGAGGGGGAAAACAAGACCATTGTTCTAGCAAAAAGGCTGCT